CCAAAATACATTGTATGCCATATCACAGTTACATTTTTTCAATCAGGGAGTAAAAACCAAAAAAGACAAAAATATTTCCTTTGTCTCCTCTTTAAATTTGTGCCAATATTCTAAGAAGTATTTTTTGTTTCTGATGTTTCTCATATCCCATCAAGTCATCACCAATGCATACGACTTGTCCAGATATACACAAGACTGGGTAAATAAGAAAAAAAAAATTGGTGTTAAGCCTAAAACCCACTAGGAATGCCCTCTGCTTTAATCCCATGACTTCTTATCCTATCAAGATGTATTTCTTTCAAGAAACACCTCTACTTCTGAAACACAGGCTGGTGTCTTCACTACCACTTAACACTTCAAAAATGTTAAATTTTAATTGAATAAACAAGGCAATACTTGAATTAAAAAAATGCTGAGTGTTTATCACTGGCTCCAGTTATGCTAAAACATCCAGAAAATATTTTTCTGCAACACCACAGTAATCAGGAAATGCTGCTAAGGTGAACTCTTTTGCTTAAAAAAAAATTAAGAAAAACCAAACAAAAATTCTCCCAAAACAAACAAAAAACCAAACAGAACAAAACAAACCCCCTGACTCACAGATTATATAACATGCAAATATAGTTTCACCTTCAAAATAGCGTCGTGTAACACAAAGCCAAAGAGACAGCAAGAAGCAGTTCATAAGAGTGGAAAAGCCTCCCCAGGACTCTATAGGAGCCATTCCCCCAAAAGAAAATATATCAGGATTGCAATGATTTCATATAATCACTCGGTTTAGAAGATGCTTTCCTTAACAAAAATAAAATCTTGCCTCTTTTTATAAATTACATTAAGGGATGAAGAATTCCAAAGTTTATAGATATGCCCTAAATAGCAGGAAGAAAATTAGCCTGCTGAAAAGTGTCAAAACCCTCTGAGAGCTAATAAAACCAAACTAGTTGGCTTTACTTTCTGCCCTATGATTTCATGTTTATCTTTCAGTATTTAGGCATGTAATATAAGTTCTGAAGCACAAATGAAGCATAAACAGCATTTTCATAAATACTGAAGGAAGACGTGAAGATACCAAGTATTTTAAAAATTTAGTTCACCTTTACTTTTGAAATCAACACTGAGGATATTTATAACACCATAATCCAGAAGCTGTTAAACAAACAGCATTAGTATATACCTGTATATCTGTGTTTAATTAATAATCTCTTTATCTAGGAAAATTAGCATAAGATGACCTATATTTATGTAGCAAAATAATTAGCATATGACAGTCTGAATCTGTAGCAGTACATAAAACCAACTCTGAATATAATTCAAGATCATAAGCATTCCCTGAAAAGGAAAGAGGCCACCTGCAATACAGAGGAAAGTAAACAAGCCAATAAAGCAGCATGCCTACTTTTCAGTAACAGCAACTCAGACTCCATCTTAAGTCTGTCATCATTCATTCCTGCTGAATGGGGACTACGTAACGTAACAATCATTCTGTTTCACCTAACACTGAAATTTAGTAGCATTTATAGACAGCAATAAAACCTGCCACCAAATCAGGAAATTTGGTACAGTGCTTGCTGACCTGCCTGCTTTGACATTATTAGTTAAGCTGCATGAACAGCAATTTGACCCACAAATCCCACTAACTCCTTCATTTAGAAACTGACAATATTTGTGAACACCACATTGTCTTTGTGCTGACCACAGTGACTGCAAAACACCACTGGGAAAGCAAAAGGGGGAGGTAAAATTATCTGGAGGTACAGAAATACTCTCATTTAACTAACACCTGACAAATACAAAAACATATAAGAACCGTGTGAAAATCACCAACGAGGACTCATTCATGGCAATCATAATTTTTCATATGGCTGCCTTCCATATGTTCATGGCTGACAAGAAACCTAGTAGTTCTTAATGCAGCTTTTTTAATTAATTTTTTTCACCACCGGTGAGAATCTAACATTATTAACTTAGGTAAAACTCCACACCACAAATACTTATGTCTTACTCCATAACATGAAGTTTTATAAACAAAGAAAAATGCTCAATTACCAGAATACTCCCAGTAGCCACAATGACACAAAATGCATTGCAAAGAACCCGTATTTACCCTTATATGCCAAGAGATTTGTAATGAATTCAAGGCCACTGATGTCACCAATTATACTGATAAAATTAAACACAGTGGACTTTTAATATATGATGAAAATCAATTTGTAGATCCGCCTTATTTTCACAAATGGTTGTTTGGAGTTTCAAGCATATTTCCCAGTCATTTCAAATGACATGCTTGTGCTACGTGCAAAATAAGCCAAAGAGAAATGACAACTCTGGCCTCACCAAAAATGCTGTCAAAAAAAAAAAGGGCAACTGAAACAGAGAAAAGCGATATTTTTCTTATTTTTCTTCTCATATTCTCATAACCAAAGTTAAAAGAATCTATTATTTGAGAAAAAGCACTGTTTATAGTGTTTTGTAAGGTTATACACATTCAGCTTTATAACACGGAGTTAACCCAAACCAAATACTGTACATAAGCTTTCCTTTCTCATTTTAAGTAAAGATTAGTAATCTTTCAGATATTCCCCTAAATTGCACTACCAACAAAGACTTCTCCACTCCATAAATGTATAATTATAGATCACTTTAGCGTAATTTGTTAAGATAATGAAATAGTGTATTCATGAGCAGCGAACATCACCATTTTAACACTGGCACCACAAACAGTTACATCAAACAAATACACTGCTTCAGGAATGCTTCATCACCAAGTTTCATTCAATTTGTTGCTGGTTTGGTTTTTTTTTTTTTTATTTTAAAAATATTTAAAATCAAAGTTAATGCACTGACCTCTAAACAGTTTCTGCCATATTAAAACATTTCTCTGTTATTTCAGAGGTTTCTTCAGCCACGGCATAGGTTAAGGAGAAATGGCGATAACTAATCTTCTGCAAAATCCTCAATGCAATCAGGGAAAAAAAACAAACCAAACCACAACTGCACTGCTGATTTCTATCAATTTAGTTGTCTTCACTGTTACCTGCATTTTATAACAGGCAGTATTTTCATATGTCTCATTTGGTACGATCGGTTTCCTTCCTACACTATGCTGATATCTTGCAGATACAAGACGGTATTGTTCAATAAAATGTAAATTGCCAAAAATGTATTAACATACTGTCTTGAAAACACGTTCACAATAATGACTATGATCTTCAATATTTTGGTTTTGAGTCGGTATCTGGACGGGAAAATATTTCAGTGTTTTATGAATAAAACTCTTCCCTGCTTAAATGTTAGACGGCACAGTGACAAGGCGCTTCCGAAATAATGCTCCTTTACAAGAAAACGACGTAACACACGCTATGAAAATGCCCACCCCCCATCTTCAGTGCGAGCTCCCCTGCTCGCAGCCATGAGCCGTTTTTCTGCCGCCCTCTCCGCTGCGCCTGGCTCCTCTCCCCGTGCAGGTCTGATCCGCGGAGCCGCTGAATGCAGAGGCTGTGCTGCACTGTGAATGGACAGCCAGGTATTTTATGAATGGAGCGGATCACGTGCTCCCAGCACCTCCCCGAGCTGATATTTCCCACATAACTGTGTCAACAACCAGCGAGCAGCACATATTAATACAGCCGGTCCTGGAGACCTTCCTCCGCTGCCCGCGGGAGGGTCCCCGCACCGTAAGCAGCAGCTCGAGGTAATTCTGCAGGGCAGGTTCTGCCGCAGGTCAGCCGCGATGACGGCAAGGGTTGGTTGTTTTTTTTTTCCCCCCCTTTTTTTTTTTTTTTTTTATGAATGGAGATTGTGGTATGCAAATGAGAGCGATTCACAAAAAAGGAAACATGGCGGCGGCCTCGGCTCCCCGCTCCCGGCCCCGCGGGCGCCGCAGCAGCTCCCGCCTGGCCCGGCCCGCTCCCCGCTCCGCGACCGGCAGCGCGGAGCTCCCCGGGCTCGCTGCCCCTGCCCGCACAGCTCCCTCGGGGCCGGGCCGCCACGCTTCGAGGAGCGCCAAGGAAGCCAGGCAGGTTTTACTGCGGAAGGCAGCGAAGCGGGCAGCGCCGCGCTCCCGCCGCGGAGCCGCTCGGCGGCCGCTGCCGCCCAGACGCACCACCGACGGGCGCGGGGCTATGTCCGCTCCGCCATGGCCGCGGCCACCACCCGCATCATTCATAAAGTCGGCCCGAGCCAACGCCGGCACCGCAAATCGTAACGCTAAGGCTCGGAGACTGCAGCGACTGACCTTAAACGTCCCGATGGCAGCGAAAGTTTCAAAATACTTCTTGTTCATTCTTCAACGCCATAAAGAACTCGGATGTTTCCCGACACGCATTTATCTCCTCCGACCCAAAATGTATTTCAGACTACATGAAGGGGGATACAGCCGCACGCACACATATTCTCTGGATTTCCTCCAAACCAGTCATATTAAAAATATTGAGAGCCTTGAACTGTCCCCTTCCTCTTATTATAATCAAACAATAATCAAGACTCAAGATCCCAAGTGCTTATTAAAAGGGAAAAAAAAAAATGCTCCAGGGTAGGTTTTAGCTGTATTTACACTGACTGACTCATCCAATTAAAATTCAGGAGCAGTTTCCTGCAGGATGAAGCTCCCACACACTAGTTTCCATGTGAAATATCTACAAGTAATGGGATTATTATCAGAGGCAGTACGTGCCGATAGCTCTCTGGGCATTCGAAACCCTTCCCCTGCCACCTCCCCCGAGACACTGTCGTTACCTGCACCGTTTTCTATCGGGCTTTAATTAAAGCACGCTTTTCTGACCCCCCGCTCACAGCCCTTCTAAACCAAGCCGCTTCACAAAGAGAGAGCTTCAGGGCTTCCATGGACGCGAGCAGAAATGCGCAGTACGCGCAGGGGGAGGCCAGGACACGTACGTGCGCAGGGAAAGGGCCCCACGGGCGTGGAGCCGCGAGCCTCGGCCCGATCCCGAACCCCGGGGGGGGAACCACCGCCGCGGCGAGCAGGGGGAACGGCTGCTTACTCGTTGTTAGAAGTCGCCGTCTCTTCGCTCATTTTCTCCTCACCGCGATCCGACAGGGAGACGGAGCAGCACCGACGCAGCCAGGGCGCAGCCAGAACTCACCAGAAACTTCACCATTGTTACCCCCCGGGCTGCCGCCCCCGGCCAGGCCCGGGCAGCGCTGAGAAGGGGGGACGGAGGAGGGAAAACGGTGTGGTGCGCGATCTTTATCCTAGAAACAAGAAATCCTGCTGTCCGGCACTGGAGTGTATTTCCCCTATCTTTAGAGATGACGATGATGATGGTGGTGAAGGCAGTGGTGGAAACAGCAGAAACAACCACGGATCTTCTGCTCTTGAGCTGCTTCCAGTTAAAGGGGGACAGAGCGGCAGAGACGAGGGAGGGCTCCGCGATGCAAAAAACTGCACCGCACCGTCCTCCTGCTGCAGCTCATCTCCTGTTGCAGCTGCCTTCGCTGTTGCTCTACTGCCTCCCTCGCCCAGCCGGGGCAGGCGGCGGCAGAAATTCCTCCAGACACCGGAGCCGCCACAGGCAGGGTCAGGCGCGGAAGGGGGGGGGGGGGGGGGGGGGGGGCGAGCGAGCGGCTCGGCTGGGCTCTCCCACCCCCTCCGAAGCGACGCCGAGCACTGCGGAGGGAGAACGAGCCGGCCCCAAGGAGAAAGCTGGTGACGGGGGGAGGGAGGCGTTTTAAACCAGCCTAGGGGTGGGAAGGGGAGGGGGGGACGACGAAGGAGAGGGAGGATGCGTCACGGCTGTTTATGTGAGGAGCGAAGGAGGGAGCCTGGGAGAGAGGAGACCCTGCCGCAGGACGAGAGGCAGGGGAGGGAGGAAGCCCGCGGGGAAGTTCAGCGGCCGCGCTCCCTCCTCGGCAGCAACTCCATTAGCTACCGTCTCGGCTCCTCGCAGCCGCCTCCGCCTCCGTCTCCTCACAGGAAAACTGGGCGGAAGCGTTGACTTCAAGCTCCTTCCGCCGCCACAGCTTGATCCAAAATAACCAGGGGGAAAAGGGAGGAGGGAGAAGAGGGAAGAGCGAGGGGAAGAAAGTAATCCCCTTGACCCTGAGCTCGCGTCGGACGGGCCCGCGACGCCGCCGCCCGTTCCACGGCGTCCGCCGCTGCCCTGAGCTCGAGTTTCGTGAAAGTAGTTCCCTCCCTGCGGTGCTGCCTCACGCGCTTCCCAAGCAGCCGCATCCGCCGCAAACGCACGCACGGCGCCGCGGAGGGATACAGGAGTTGTCCCGCTGTCGCCCTCCTTCCTGCTCGGAGGTCGCAGGGGAGGCATCGCGCGGGGACTTGAGGGTATCACTCTCGTCCCATCAGCTTCTAGCCCAGCCCAGCGGTGCTCAGCCCTGCTCGGCTCGGCCCGTCTCAACCGGGCCCGGCCCAGCGCTGCCCAGGCGGAGCGCGGGCTGCCGGCACTCTTCAGCGCGGGGCCGCACAGACCCCGGGGCAGCCGCTGCGGACTGGACCGGGGCGGGCTCGGGGGCCGTCCCCGGAGGTACCGAGAGCCTTGGGGCAGGCGTGACAGATCACCGGCGGGTTGGGCTTCCACTCTTTTAAGTACTTCTCTAAGCTGAAGCGTGCGGCAGCCCCTGGGGAGTGGGGGATGTGGCGAGTCGGAGCCTCGTGTCCGGTTCCCTTTAGCTGGCGCCGGTATCACCTCTCTCAGCCAGCCGTGCGGCGGCGAAGCGGGTGGACGGGCGAAACTGGAGGTGCGGGCTCGTTAACAGGGGTCTCCGCTACTCTGAGGTGTGCCGTGTGAGGATGGTGGCAGAGTACGTCCCTGAACGAGCTGTGCGAGGGTCACCGCCGCCTCTTGGAAGAGGAGGGAGCCCTTCCGTAACGAGTTCCCTAACTCTGGAAGCCTGAGCGCGGTTCTAGCTGGGTGATGGCATCGGGGTGTGTACGAAACCTTGACCCTTTTCTAAATGCACGCTGAAACTGAGACGTTTGTAGTTGACCCCGGCAAGCAGTGAAATGAAGCAGCAGCAACAGAACCCAAATCCCTTTTCAGGAGCTTGGAAGGTAAATGTACCCCTTGATCTGGTGGAGAAGTGGAGCAGTGCTGTAAACCCCGAGGACTTGAAAATCATGAGTCAGACCATCAAGTAAATTAGGTTATAATAAAAGATTATATTGTGGTTTTGTCTGTCGGTTGGATTTTGATTTCTTCCTGCCTAGTCTTCGCATGCATGCCTGCCAACTGATACATCTCACTGTCCGAAATACATGGAGTAAAATACTGCGGTGCTTCTGTAAGAGACATTGCTTCCCTGGTGCACATTCGTTATCCCCCGTGTACTCGCTCACTTTTTCACAGCTGGTCTCCGTGAGCCTTCTCTGTCAGTGCTAGTCCCATTCTGTTATTTTCCTGTAATTGTGGGACTTCTTCCCAACTCTGGTGGTGCCACAGGCACAGGGATGAGCTGTTCTCTCTTCTTGTCTGAAAAAGATGAGGTGATATTCCCTTGGCAGTCGTAACACAACTGATTCCCACACTCCTGTAGGTTGGCTGCTTTTCCCAAGGAAGAGAGACTGGACCATGGGAAATGAAGAGAAGGAATTTTCACCCTTTCAAGGGAACCTGCAGTGCCTCACATCATTGTAGGCCGGACTACAACCTTGAGTCTTCTGAATGCTCAGAAGCAGAATTATATTGCATTTACCAAGGGTATTTGTTAAGGAAATTCTTCCTTTTCACTGAAGTTTCAAAGTACCAATTCGTCAGTGGGTCTTAATGGTGTCCACAGATTTTTCTTGAAGGCTTCCTTTTCCTGTGATTGAAAATGCTACAGTGAGGAAAAAGCATATATGGTTTCTGTCAGGATTTTAAACATAAATCTCATTTTATCTTAGATAGCAGGCAAGAAAAGACAGGTTTAATTTCTAGATGTTATGTTCATTGGCATTCCTATGGGTCAAAATTCTGTGTTTCCACAAAAGAGTTCTGCCATAGATGTAATGGAACGATTACAGTAAAAAACAGCTCTCAAGCTCGCTCTATATGATAAAAGCCCTGTAGTGTGTTTCAAGCAGCACACATCTCAAACCTGCAGTAAGGAAGCTGGCTTCCTTATTTTGGGAGGCTTTGAGAGGAAAATCTCCAATTGTTTTGTAAAAACTGCAAAAATGGATCAGTTATTCATGGCGTAATCTCATCCCAACACTAAAAATACATTACGAACCCATTTTTACGCTATTCTGCAATTCACATAAATCAAATTGAGTATTTGATAGTACCCCTTCAAGGGCTTTGAAAATCAGTTGTGGGGACATAATATCCCTCTCCTTAGCAGTGGGAATAGTTTCAGAGAACTTCCTGTCTTGTGACTGGCTGATAGTGTGACTTCCTGCCAGTTTAATTCTGATTTTCTACTGTCTTCAAAGTTGAAATATGTAACATTCGGTAGGCTAATGGCTTTCTTAAGATAATTTGATTAATACGATCCTGTAAAAGAATGCCCAAGAATCAGCTCATTTGGTCAGATGGTGGTATAGCGCTATTCAATGCATCTTATAAAAAAGACACAATGATGACAAGAAAGACCATTAATCTGGTTGCATTTCTTTAAATTTCTTAGATATATTTAATATAAAAATTAATTTCATCATGGCAATTCAATAAAATGTGCTGTTTTGTAATACATCATAAATAATTTCAAATCGTTTCAGTCTCCTTAAGGTTTTCATGGGTGTCTTTATTAACAATAAAATGTGTATTCAGTTGTCAGCTGAAAACTGCACCTTTTATTTGTCTGTGTGGAGGAGGAAAGGGGAGACAGATCCACTGCTTCTTCACCTGTGGCTCTTCAGCTTCTGCAAGCAGTCTCATGCTGCAGTATGCACAGCAGGGATGTTGCAAGCAGTTTATCTCCCTTCGCTTAAAGACCATAAAGAGGACAGAAAATCTACACTAGTCTTGAATTTGAAACCCTGTTTGTTTGTTTACCTCTGCTCAGGTTGGAAAGATGGGGGAGCACAATCTTGGAGTACTGGTGTCCTTTGGCTGGCAGCAGGTTCTTTCAGGGCTGGTTTTGTTTTTCAGGTTTGGGGTTGTTTGGTTTTGTTTGTTTGTTTGTTTGTTTGTTTTTTGAGCATAAATAACTAAATTTATCAGGTGTTTTCAGTGCAAATGGTTTATTTCAGGAATATGTGTGAGCCCTGCCTGTGCAAACAAGGCAGAAGTGGGCTAGGCATGGGTGACACCATTCAGAAACCTTAGACAAATGACCACTTTGTTTCCCAAGCACCATATGTTTTGGGGTCTTGTCTTTCTTTTTACATTCCTTGTCTCTTTGCTTTCTGTGTGATTTAAGTGATAATCTGTTGTTGAAATCTGACCTTCCTCTAGATGACCTGGAGAAGATACCTCTAAAAAGGGAAGCTGCTAGTCCTTTTCACTAGCAATGCTGAGGTATATTCACTTTCTGGGGTACGTACAGAGATGACTCCTTAGCTAAAGACAGGATAGGCCCAGTACAGAATGTGGCAAATGTGGTTAAAACTCATCATTTTTTTACATTGCTTTTGCTATTTTCCTACATCCAATGCCTACTTTAGTTGCACTTTACAAAAACTAATTTATATGTCAATGCCACTGCCCCATTGTAACATTTTGATAGGTGTGGACCTCTGAGGTGCAAATATTCTCTGGGTTGCTTCTAGAGACCCTTGTAAATGAGAAATGGGGAAGCAACAGTTACTTCTAAAGGACAATGAAGGCAACGTATGTAATTAGAAAGCCATGTAACATGTAAACAAAATAAAAATCTGAATGTCTCTATTTTTGTCATTTTCACACATGTATGCATCCCAAACTCATCAGCGTTTGTGCTTCTGTGACTAACACTAGTCTTAAAAATGCTCAGTTGACCAGGCGTAATTATGATGAGGCAGCAATCTCCTCTGTGTTACAAAACATGTTTACTTGACTAAGTGGGACTAAAGCATTTCTCATGTAATTTTGCTGAGTGTAGAGCCAGTGTACATTTGGCCCAATATGCTTATTCACCATTTTTTGGAATGGTTCCGTGTGTGTCTGTGATTGTCTCTGACAACAGAGGTGGTCAGGAGTGGCCATGGAGTAGCAGGCCACAGTCTATGGCAGAAGAATTATGTCTAGAAGAGCTATGAGGGGAGGTTAAGTTACATGAATTCTTATCGGATTGCATTCACATCTTAAAATCCCTTGTAGGATCAGTGGAAGTTAAGTAATGACATCCAGATTAGCTGGACATTGCAGGGTTTAAGTGACCAATTCTCAGTTGAGGTTTTAACTCCTAAATATGAAAGTTTTGAACTCTGCTTCCACTAAACACAATGATGCTTCTATTTTTATCCAGATCCTAATGATAAATTTACAAAAAAAATGAAGGTTGGATGGATGTTCTGCCATTTTTAGGAAAATTACTAGAGGTCATTTGGGAATTTCTTCTGTAATAGCTTTCATTCAGAATCCTAGTGGGACTTAGACTCTGGGTGGTCTTTACACACATCTTAATAAGGATTTAGCTAAACTGAGCAGATTAAATCTATATTACTCTTTTACAAAAGTTAGATTTTGTGAAGTTCTAACCAGGAATCCTGTTATTGCATGCAAGATAAAAAAGTTCTTGTTCTACTTGATGCTACTGTCTCAAAAAATATTTTCCAACAGGATAAAAACCACATTAGAATAAATTTTTTCTCAATTCCAGTATATTTCAGATGGCGCTAACTCCTCGGAATATCAGTTTTGTACATCAT